CAATTACTCACTGTCTACACACACATTATTATTGTCCCGTCACGTTGTCACCCTCTTTTATATACCAAACTACCCTATATCTAGTAAATGCTAGAGCATTCGCCAAGGTACAGGATAGTTCTAGAAACGTGGCGTCACACTAGTCATGTGACTCGCTGATGCAACAATAGTTTGTTATAGCGCGACTGTTGAAAATAAGTGTATCGTAAAGTTGTATTCGGAAAGAATAAACCTGTTTTATTAAGTAAGGAGTTGTGTCGCTAAAGTTTCGTCGGAACGAAGTTACGGAAAATCAATTAACAAACGGAGACATAACAATTCGTATGGAGAGCATAATAACAAAAAGAGAAGACTCGGTCAATAAAGTGTGTGATGAGCTGGGTATAACTTGTTTCAACCTTTTGGATATGAACTTCATCAAAGAATACATAATCATCATGTGACCTGTAGCACGAATGCTGGAGTTAATTCAAAATGAAATTAAGGCCTATATGGTACTACTTCTGCTAGCACGTACCGCATGTTTGATAAACTGAAATATCTTTGTCGTAAACCACTCCAGACTTGCAAGCCACTTGTTAATGCTTTGATTTCGGGAATTGTGAAGCACTTTGGAGTTGCGTTTGTCAATGAGGATCACGTTCTCCAAGCTGCTTTTCACCCACGGTTTACACTGATTTGGATTAGTTTGAATGCTAAGAAAGAAACTGTAAAACAATAATGATTAAAAAACTTTCAGAGAAGACAGAAGGTGGTAGTAATGAAAGTTCAGCAAATGTTGATGTAAGTGATTTTTTGTCGCTTTCGAGCACAGAGTAAGATGATTAAGACTTTTTCATGTGTTTTAAATAACAAGCAAAATCTGAAAGTAATTCATCCCAAAGTAGCAATGATCAAATGACACTGATCCTGAGCAAAGAACCATCTACTTATAGAGATATAGAATTAAGATTGTTCTCTTCATCAGCTTTTAAATCTCTCTTGATTTACTTCAATATTCCAATTCCATCAACTGCAGCTGTAGAGTGGATTTTCTCAACTGGGAAGGACATTTTGAAACCAAAAAGAACTGCATTGATAGATAAATTAAATTAAAATCAAAATTAAAATAATAATAATAAAATTGAACAAATAATGAGGGATGTAATATCTTCTAATTAGATATATATTATTTCATATTAGCTCACTTATTATTATTACTATCTTTATATTCATTTATTTTTCCATGTTATGTTCTTTAAGTACTTTCAATGAATGTATTAAAGGCTGTATGTTGTTAACTCTTTCCTATCACTATTCACAAATATAGATAGGCTGTTCTGAGAAGTCTGTATTATGTTACTGTAGCAATAAAGTATTATTATTTACCAACAAAATTTCATTTTTCATTCTTACATTATCCAATGACAAAAAAATCTTGAAAAATGTCAGTTTCAAAAGTAGCAGTAGCACCACTATTTATAAATATGTAGCGACAACAGTATTTTTCTTGTTGTAATGGTAGCGACACACCATTGAAGAGGTAACACATATAGTTATGTTCAGGGCTTTCACTTGTTGGTGCCTGCTGTTCCTCACAGCCAGTTTTGAGTGACCATAACCTGAACTGGGGTTGTATTACTCTGGCCATCTCATTCAGTTTTGGACTCCATTCTTAGTCATCCATGCTTCTTTTGCACTGAGATGATTCTCAAGAGCAATGTCTGATCTGCCATTTAGGTTGCACAGATGTCAGCCGATTTTCCAAAGTCTGCAGTTGTGGAGAGATAAAAGGCATGGACATTGTGCAGCATTGGCAAAAGTCCAATGGCCAGGAGGGTACATCTAGTACTTACAATTCTCTCATACACCCATCTCTTTCAGCAACTAGTTCTCCCTTTTGGTCTTGAGAACTTCTACTTGGAGAACAAGTCATTCTTTAAGTAAGAAATATTTGTTTAAACTCGATTGCTCAAGAATTCAATTAAGCAAAAAATTCTGCAATAATATTCTGTGATCACGAAACCAAAATTTTTTCTTTCTACTTACTTTGTGGTACTTCCAAGTAAACTGATTCCCTAACATATAAAATTAGGTAATTCCACTATATAATGGGAGACTTAGTAAGATAAATTGTAAAGTAATGCTGAGTTCTGCTACAACCAACCAAGTCTGTGCTATTCAATTAATAAAGTGTACACACAGTGTGATACACAACAAAGGCCAGGTGGTTAGGGTGCTTGACTTGCAATCCATGGGTTTAAATCCCCATACCACCAAACAAGCTCGCTCTATCAGCTGTGGTGGCATTATAATGTGATAGTCAATCCAACTATTCGTTGGCAAAAGAGTAGCCCAAGAGTTGATGGTGGATGGTGATGACTAGCTGCCTTCCCTCTAGTCTTTCACTGCTAAATTAGGGACAGCTAGCTTAGACAGCTCTCGTGTAGCTTTGCATAAAATTAAAGAACAAACACAATGAAAATAATCTTTACCAATTTAACAAACACATACACAATGTGTATACTTGCAGTGGACACTGGACAGTCGTCTTTTCTAGAGTTGCAAATTCATTAGGCTGGTTCTACCCCCTCAAGACTTTTTTCCAAAATTACCAATTTACTCAACGTGATGTTCCAGACTATCTAAATCTCATGTTACTTGCTTGAATCAGTAACATTAGGCTTACCCAGGGCAACTAATGCTATCCTCATGACAATTCATTTCCATTCAAACACAAAGAAGGTTGTAACCTTGAGATATCACTTGACCTATCATTAGCGGGCACAACTGTTGACCTACATACACAAGTTGCAGATTTACAGCTATACCACCCATAGTGAGACCAGGTATTACTTCCAAGGGAATGTTGGTGAAAAAATTTAACTAGAATGAAATAAACTTGACAGCTTTCTTGGCCAAGTGTTATGCAAAAAATACACAACTAGAACAGATAAAAATTTTTGAATCATTCTGCAATAATATGATAAAAATGCTTAACACAGCAGAAAGATAAACCTAATATACAATTACAACTAGAAAATCAAGGAACTTTTATGCTGAAGGACAGGCAAAGTGATTTGTAGCAGGCAAATGAAAGAGACAATTTGATGTGAAACTGAAGCAAAAATATACACTTTGTTGAACAAAACAGAAGAACAGACTTAGAACGTTTCACACCTTAGAAGTTTCTAACATTTTAAAATATAAATATGTACACATTATAGGAGAGTAAGATATGTAGTAATTGCACATTACAATCTTATGTTTCAACCTAAATAAAGCACAGTTTATTATATGTGAAGCATGGACTTTGTTCTTTATATTTCAAAATCCAGATGTTAATAAAGTTGCTTTTCTACCCTGGTTTCTGAGACAATGGTTATTTTACACCTTTGTTAATTATATATCGAACAAAGAATGTATTATAACATTTTTTTCTTCTATTGCAACAAGGGTCCATGGTGAGGTGAATGTTAAAGTAGCCTATGATCAGAGTAGAACTTGACTGAAAAAAGTTGGGGAGTTACAGGGTCAAACACATGGCCAGGAATCATGCAGCCAAAGATGGGATTAAAAGTTGTTTTTCAATGCCATCTGGAGCCATATTCTACAGAAAAAACTCCATACTTTCAACTGTGGGTGTGTTATAACTGTGACTGTCTATGTCATTACGAGTAGCCAAATGGGCAGTAAGTGCTGCAGACCATCTGCCACTCCTCTGATCAAGGATTCCAAATGAGGGATATCTCTGCCTGAGCTTGAAGTCTTTGATGTTATCAGTGTTTGTAAACATACTCACTGATGTCACCACTAAAGGGACAAGAGGGCCCATAAACCTGAATTTAAAAACAATTTTGGTTGTTAATCTGTACATATCTTGAACAACAATGTTTCCACCGAGCATGCAATATCATGAAATATAATAAAGCAATGAACATGAAATCTCTAGTTTGGTTAAGTTTAAAATTTAATTTGGTTGCTTCAACATTCTTGACTAGAAAGCTTAACTAACACTAATTATCTATCATACTCAAAATTAATGGTGGACTAAAATGGAAGGAATGTACATTATCATGTTAATTACTTCTTGGCTATAATATTGACCACTTGGGAATTGTGCTTACGTGATGAAAGTTTCGTAGGCTCCTGCAAAGTGACTACTGAAATAAACACTTTTTGATTTAATGATAGGGACAGTTACATAAAATACAATTGTTCTGTTTTTTGGCTATTTTACATAAAACAGAAATGCTTTGCAATTTATTTAGGGAATCATACATTGTCAATAGCTACTGAAGAATAACTTAGAAGCCCAACCATGAGAGAAAACATTTCATGATATATCACTTCAACCATATCAACATTACTGGTTTTAGTATTTGTATCACATTAAGCATATTTTTTAAAACTGTAACAGATAAATATAAAGATCTTTGGGTTGGAAAAGAAGCAATCTTAAACAGTCATTACATTTTGTCAGCTATATAATCTTTCTAAATTTATTTTACTTCCACACATCAACTACTTATCATGGTACCCGATGATGACAAAACCTTGTTGAAACGTTGTACATTTGCTTTTATGTTAAACTTATATTAAAGTTTTTCTTCATTACCCATTCAAGCCGTCTCCAGCCATTATTAGTCTCAAAGTGGGTTCCTCGTCATCGAATTTACTTATCATTTATTTTCTTCTTAGCAATAGATTTTTCATTTTATACTTTTCAATTTCACAGCACCTCTGTTATGGGTGAAATCTATTGACTTTGGTTCTAATCCAGTGTCCCCAACTTATAGAAGTGGTCTGAAACCATAAACTAAGATAGCAGCAATTTATTCTGAAACAGTCAGCTGAATTGTGGATTACATACAATGACACATATTCTACCTATGAGTGAACAAGTATATATTTATTTCCTTTGTTATATCCCTTACACTAATTTAACAAAAAATCTTGTTTAAAATACTTTACAAATACTTATGAATCTATTCCATTAAAACAATACAGAAATGTACAACAAAGAACTCCATTAAAATCTCTTATAAAATATATATATATGTACTTGTTAAATACCATATGTCCAGATTTCAGTATCATGTTTCATCACTGATATTTCAAACTTCTTTAAGAAAATATTTCTTACATTCTGGTAATCCCTTGATCATCTTGCAAGTTTCTTGTAGAAAGCACTTTTGGAACTATTTCTTAACATCATCAGAACAACAGTGTGTGCCAAAAATGATGAGAATGTACAAAGATAATTCTCTACCCAAACTTTAGAACAACAGGAATAATCCTTAAAAATGTTAAAAGCAAGACCCCACAACTTATACGACTGTTGTAATGTTCATCAGATCTTAGTAGAAGCACAACAATCATATCACATGTAGAAATTTCAAGAAATGTTTGAACAGTGCAATCACAGCTTCATTTATCAGACCTTCTTTGACAAAGTTTGGCTCCATCAATAGATAAGTTTCAGCTGCTCATAGGCAAGAAAAAACTAAGCCCAGTTAAGGATCATACAAATAATATTCTCTTAGGATTAGAGAACACAATGAGAATTTATACAGAACATAAATACACTATTTATAGTCTTCAACTAATAATTCTAATGTATTGTATGTTATTTATGCCTATCATCACAGTTGTTGGAGTAAAATGCAAACCATTAATAGATGAACATAATTCACATTGTTATGGTATATTAATTAAAATCCATACATATTTTTTACTTTTACATTATTCAGATGATGATGACATAAGTTATGTTTTTTTATTATTGTGAGAAGCAGAATACTTAAGGTATGATTTAATTTGCAATAACTAAATTTTAGAATAATATCAATCTTGTTTTCACTACATATAATTTTCTCACTAAAACACACACTCAATTTGTAAAATTTATATGAAAAATGCATACACAAAGTTTGAAGAACTAGAAAGTATGCATATTTTTGCAATGAAATGTAGCATAAAATTAGTTGTTTTTTTTACACTTTATCATACTGCAAATAAAAACTGGCAATATTTTTAGTCAACTCTGAACGAAAAATGCCTTTCTTTGAAAACTTTTACTATATGAATTTTGTCTCATCTCCATTTTATTTTACATTGTATTTTCAAAAAATAAGTTTTTTTTATTTGATGGTTCTAAGTAGCTGTTTGGGCTAATTTACCGACTTATCAGATGAAAAGCATTTTTAACTATATTTCTGTATGTGAGTGTGTATTAATTCATTTTAAGTATTATAGTAATAAACTGTGTAGAACAGTTAACTGTAATTTCTCATATTATGTTTTATAAAATACTTCTTTCAGTATTGCCCTTTCATATCAAGATAAAATTCTTCTATTTTCAATGGCATTGTATTTCAATCTATCAGAATAATGGTTTCTCTATAGTTTGTGTTATAGAGAAGTCCTGAATTTCTAGTCTGTTATGTTGTATTAAACATATATTAATACTTTTGTTCACTTGCTACATAGAAGATTTAGTGCAACTAATGTTTACCTATTAGTAAAATTATTTTCAAAAAGGATACAATTATGTTCCAGGGGCCCAAACGGAACCAAGTGGGCACAAAGCCTTTGTACAAAGCAAGAAACCCTTCTGTTTGGATAGTCTAAAGAGAATTCAGAATATAACAACCTACAACACTTTCCATCATCTATAGAATCTTATATAAATATACTTACTTTACATCAACATAAAATAAATTAGATACAACAACAGTTAAATATCATGAGCTAGATACAATATCTTTGGTATATGAAAGTAAGAGAGAGAGAGAGAGAGAGAGAGAGAGAGAGAGAGAGAGAGAGAGAGTGTGTGTGTGTGTGTGTGTGTGTGTGTGTGTGTGTGTGTGTGTGTGTGTGTGTGTGTGTGTGTGTGTGTGTGTGTGTGTGTGTGTGTGTGT